GAAAGAATTATTTTTTTTAAAAATAATACTTAGAGTAATTATAGAGATTTATTATGTATTCATTTTTATTTTATATTATTTATATATACTTTTATTATTTTTAAGAATTTTTAAAATTTTTTTAATTATTGTTTTACAAATAATAAAATTCGATTTATTAAATAAACTAAATAAATATAAATTTTGTAATCTGCTACAGAAGCGAATTTCTTAAAAAAAAATGTCTGGAAGCGAAATTCTTAAAGAAAATCACTTCGGTAATGTATTTCTTTAAGAAAAATGTTTCAGAAGCGTAGTTCTTATAGAAAAATGTTCTGAAAGCGTAGTTCTTATAGAAAAATGCTTCAGTAGTGTATTTCTTAAAGAAAAATGCTTTGATAGCATATTTCTTAAAGAAAAATGCTCTGGAAGTGAATTTTCTAAAAAAAATGCTTCAGAGCGTAATTCTAAAGAAAAATACTTCAGGAGCGTAATTCTTTAAGAAAAAATGCTCTGAGAGCGTAATTCTTAAAAAAAAAACACTCCTGAAGCGAATTTCTTAAAGAACAATGCTCCGGGAGTGAAATTCTTAAAAAAATGCTCCAGAGCGTAATTTTAAAAGAAAAATACTCTGGAGTATAATTATAAAAGAAAAATGCTTCTAGAGCAAAATTCTTAAAGAACAACGCTTCAGAAGCAAATTTCTTAAAGAACAATGCTCTGGAAGTGAATTTCTTAAAGAACAATGCTTTAGAAGTGAATTTCTTAAAGAAAAGCACTCCGGAAGCGAATTTCTTAAAGAAAAATGCCCTGGAAGTGAATTTTTTAAAGAACGATGCTCTGGGAGCGTAATTCTTAAAGAAAAATATTCTGAAAGCATTTTCACTTCAAGAGAATCTATTTGGAGACGTTTCTCTTGAAGGAAACTATTTCAGAAATGATTCTCTTGAAGGAAATCACTTTTCAGGACTTTTCAATTACTCCAAAATTTTTTTTCAGATTTTTATTAATAATGTAAGCCATATGAGCCAGCTTGTTTGGCTCGGCTTGCCACATTTTGGACTCGAGTCAAGCCAGTTCGTGAGCTAAAATAATTCAGCTCAGCTCAAGCTAATGGTGAGCTGGCTCAAGCTGGCTCATGCGAAGCTTTAATTTATGATTTATAATTTATTTTATTATTACATAATAAATTACTCAAAAAGAATATATATTGTATAATATTTTATTTAAAAAAGATACATTTGATTTATTAAAGATAAGAAAAAATAAAGAAAACAGTTAGAAACCCTCTAAAATATCGCTTCCGAAAGGCTTACCTTAATGTATTCCTAAAAAAAATAAATATAAAATAAAGAAAACAGTTAGAAACCCTACTTAAAACTACCTGCGAAAGGCTTATCTTAATGTATTCCTAAAAAAAATAAAGAAAAAAATAAAGAAAAAAAGGGTTAAAAATCATTTAAAAGTCACTTCCGAAAGGCTTACCTTAGTTTTGAAAAGAGAAATTTCCTAAAAAAACAGAGAAAAATCAAGAAAAAAGAGTTAAAACCATCTAAAAGTTACTTCCGATTTGCTTACCTTAATTCCCAAAATAAGAATTTCCTAAAAACAAGAACAAAGAAAGAAAAATGTAACAAAGGTCACTTCCGATTTGCTTACCTTAATTCCAAAATAAGAATTTCCTAAAAAAACAAGAAAAAAGAAAGGAACGATAATTCGATCGTTCCTTAAGAACGATATAAAAAATCATTCTAAAGGAATGATAAAGTATCGTTCTAATAAAACAATGTAAAAATATCATACTTTTCAGAATGATAATGTAATATTCCTTTAGAGACAATTTTTATCGTCTCTTTGGGGACAATTGTTCGTTTCTTTTGAAACAATTTTTATCGTCTCTTTGGAAACAATATTTCATTCCTTTAGGGACAATTTCTATTATCTCTTTGAGAACAATTGTTTGTTCCTTTTGAGACGATTTCTATCATCTCTTTTGGGGACAAATGTATCGTTCCTTTTGAGACAATTTCTATCGTTTCTTTGGAAATGATATTTTATTCCTTTAGGAACAATTTCTATCGTCTCTTTAAGCATGATTGTTCATTCCTTTTGAAACGATTTTTATCGTTTCTTTTGGGAATGAATGTATCGTCCCTTTTGAGACGATTTCTATCGTCTCTTTGGGAATGATAGTTCGTTCATTTTGAGACAATTTCTATCATCTCTTTTAGAACAAATGTATCATTTCTTTAGGACGATTACTCTCAGAATGTTTTTATAATTTTCGCAAAAATTTGCTCAACAGATTTTGACCAGTAAGATATAGTCAATTTGTTACCAAATCTTGAGTCTAACTGAAATTTTGCTGAATATTATAACCGAAAGGTCTTAATGCCGAAATAATGTTAAATTATGTGTTATGTAAAAATTTACTATCAATTTTTGTAACTTAAGCCGAATATTTCTGAATCACATGACTGAATCAGCTGAATATTTACCAAAAGGTATTAGTATTGAAAGAAATGATTTCGACTAGTATTAAAGAAGAATAACTTAAGTTTACGAGTAAAGATAAGTTTTTAGAGATAAATGTTATTGATTTATTAGTGGATTGGTAATGACTCTGCTATTTGTTGAGGCATAAATTCAAGATATTTATATAAAATAAATCAATATGAAATAGATATTTAAGATAGTAAAGAAATATAAGAAATATAATAAAATAAAGAAATTAAATATATTAGAAAAATGTGAGAAATTAGAGATTGCTAAAAAATTAGTGAAATTAGAGAAATCAGAGAAATGGTAGAAAATTAAGAATCATGATCGTTAACATTACTATTGTTAATTATATTTAGCGTAGTATTATGTGTTATAATAAGACTATTACTAATAATGCATCCTATAAAATTTATTCCTAAAATCAAACTGATAAATCCCATAATATTATTATGATCTGCTATAGCTAAAAACTGAACTAAGAACTATTATAGTATAACTTATATTAGGATCTTAATTGTTATCAAATGAAACTAGATCAGCAGTTCTGAAAATTCGAATGGTAATTTGAAAGAATGATATATCATCATTCTAAAAGATGATATTTTATATTATTTTATTAGAATGATATATTATCGTTTCTTTAAAATGATATTTTACATCATTTTATTGAAAAGATACATAATTGTTCTTTTGAAGTGATTTGGTTATTATTCTTATAAAATAATCAAAATATCATTCCAAAAGAACAATTTTGTTATCATTCTTATGAAATGATCAAATAATCATTTTTTTCAAATTATTTTGCAATTTAATGATACAAAATTATCCATTTGGAATATTTATGATAAATCGTATAAATAAAATCTAAATTTTAAATTATTAAAATTTTATTTCAATTTAAATATAAAACTGATAAACTTTCAGAATATTCTGAAAAAATTTTTTCTTTTTTCTTTTTCATTTTCATTTTTTTGTAAGGCAATTTTAGGCAGAAATTTAATTTTTTCCTTTCTTTTTTCTTGTTTTTTTTATTTTGAAATTAAGGTTAAAAGACTTTTAGATAGTTTTTAACTTTTTTTTCTTTATTTTTTTTTAGTTTTTTAGGAAAATTCTCTTTTAAACCAAAGTAAGCCTTACAAAGATGATTTAAATAGTTTTTAACTCATTTTTTTTTGATTTTTTTGATTTTTTAGAAAAATTTTCTTTAAAACTAAAATAAACCTTTCAGAGGTGATATTTTAATGATTTTCTAACTGTTTTCTTTATTTTTTTCTTTTCTTTTTTTAGGAATATATTAAAGTAAGCCTTTCAAAGATGGTATTTTAGATGTATTGTAATTGTTTTCTTTATTTTTATATTTCTTTCTTTAATATAAACCTTTATAAGAAGTTATTTTAATAGTTTTCTAACTTTTTTCTTTATTTTTTTATCTACTTTCTTTAGAAATACATTAAAATAAGCCTTTTAGAAATAGCATTTTATTAATTTTTAACTGTTTGCTTTAATTTTTCTTATCTTTAAAAAATCAAATATATGCTTTTTAAATAACATATAGTATAATATATATTCTTTTTAAATAATTTATTATAAAATAATAAAATAATATTATAAATAATAAATAAATGAAAAATGAGTTTCATTAGTTTCAATTTTATAAATAGTGTTTACAGCTATTTGTAAAATTGTGCGATCACCTAGTGATTATTCAGTTTGATATTTTATTTTTTTGTATTCTATATAACTATGCAAAAACAAGTTTTAGAACCTGTTTAGTAATAGAATCTAATCTCTCAAAATCAATTAGCATTACTATTAATATTATTAACTTCTTAAAAAATGCATTTTAATGAGTTCTTTACATTTTTATTTCACGTTTCTTAAAAAAAATGTAAACAATAAATTTATAAAGTATAATTGATATTAGTACTCCTTTAAAATATAAACCTAAAAAGAATACGTGTGTTATTTGTGGTATTTGTGAAATTTGTGAAGTATATATAGTAAATGGTAACCATAAATATTTGAATTAAAGACCTGACCTGAAAAAGATTTTGTTTATAAAAGTTTAATGCAGTAGAAAGGAATAGCTTTGCTAAATTTGTTGAATTAAATGCTTTTTGGAATGTTGAAGCAGATTTTGACGAAGATTTTTATTATTGTTTATATGATCGCTATTATCAAAATGCAATTGGTAAGAAACAAAAAAATTTAAATTTTTGATTCTTTATATCTTTTCTAAAACTTATACATTTATAGATTATGATAAAAAAGCTATTAAAGAAACTTTAATTGAAGAAATTAGCAGTGATGAGTTAGAAAAATTAGATAGTAGTTTATTAATATGATAAAATTTTAAATATAACATGTAATAATTATATTTATCTTAATTAATATAGATCTTATTAAAATCCCTTTACTTAAATTTAATGAAGAAGGATTTCGTTGAAATTTCTATTAAATTACATTCAGAATATGAAACTTTATCTAATGTATTAAATATGATTAGAAATAAAGTATATAGAATATAAAAGGATGTTAATTTTGATTTTCTTTTTTATTTAGAATAATAAGCTAAAAAAAGCTTTATATTATGCTATTCTTGATAATTAAGGAATTCAAGAGTGTATTTTAAATTTTCTCAGAAATAAAAAAGTACAATTATGTGTTAAGCTAGAAGTTCCTAAAAGTAATTGTTTATTAAGTTAAAATTTTGTTTATTGATAACTACATATTTATTGATTTATAGAATCTACTACTAAAATAAATACATCAAAAAGATCTTTAACATCTTTAACACAAGGTTCAAATGTAATAGCTATAACTAAAAAAAACTAGTAAAGTAAATATTCTTGAACTAAAATTTTTAATAATTCCAAATATATAATAATGCAAATTTATATTTATTTTATAACAATTAAAAAGGATTGAATAAATGAATAAGATTTTTGATGATAAAAAAAAAAGTTCTGAAATATTAAATCATTTGCAAAATGCATATTGCACAAGTTCATTTTGTTAGTTTCATGAAGATGAATATTGTTTAACTTATTATGCTGAGCAGCATATTTAATTAAATGATTCTATATTATTAGTATAGACTAGTTATATAGTAAGTAATTATTTATTATTATTTTATTTTAAATACAAAAAATTAAATATCAAAATTTATTTTATAGGTAGATGATTTGAAATCAGAAAGAAAAATAACAGAATCTAAGAGAACTTCTTTATCGAAGCCATTATCTTTAACATTATTTTTGCCACTAGCAATTCAATCAAAAAACAAAGAACTATTGCTCCATTAAAAACATCAATGAAAATAACTTCAGATCATAACCTACAATAATTTATCAAATGTCACCACCAGTACTATCACCAATATATAATCCTTATCAGCATAATTATTATTCAAATATTTATTGTAAATAAATACCATTACAATTTAATCATCAAGATACTATACAATTTAATAGCATTAAAGAATTTCTTGCGAAACTTGGTGAATCTTTTTTAGTGTATGAAAGTCATTTTATTAATAATAGATATACTGTTGATTTATTATCAAATTTGATATTATGCCAATTAAAAGATATTGGAATAAACTTGGCTGGGTATTATGTTAAAATTTTGGTAGAGTTAGGAATTAAAATTCTGGATTAATTTTTTTATTGTAATTCACTTATAATAATAAATAATATATAAACATTTAATATTTTAAAAATTTAAATTATTTGTTAATTTATTTCAGTTTATTAATGAATAATTTTATATTTAACCAGTATGAGTAAAACTTTAGCTTTATCTGATTCTATTATATCAAATGCTGTATTTAATACATAATAAGCATCATTTTCTCTTATTATTTATTCATGATATCTATGAAGAAAACCCTTTACATATGAAAAGTATTATTTAATCTATTAAATAAATAATGATTATAATTAAAATTAAATAATTAACTTGAAAAAAAATAAGTATAAAAAATATTACCAAGTTAAAATCAGGAGAATAGACAGATAAAAATATCAATTTTATTCCATAAGCTGCAAAAATTTCATATATACAAAAAGATTTATGTTTAAATAATTATCCATTACTAAAATGCTATTTGAATTTGGAAATGAATTCATAAAAGATAACTATATAACAAAGATTTACTATTTAGATTAAATGTTAATAGTGAAATTTTAAAGAAAAAATATACTTACTAAATCATATAGCAAAAAATTATAGAAATTGTTTTATGTCATTTGATATCATTTAGATAATTACATAAGTCATTTTATATAAACTGAATAAATAATTTGATAAATTAAAAAAATTAAAATAGACGAAATAATTTTTTAGTAAATGTTGGTATTGGGGTAAGTAATTTTGAACATTTATTTTTTAAAAAGATAACTAAAATGAATGCTCCATTCATAAGTCCTTCTTGTATATGAGTAATAATACCATTTATTTCTAAAGCTTTTTCAATTGTATATCTTTCACCTCTTTATAAATGCACATTTAATTTCTATACATCTATTTAAAGATGAATATCTGTATCATCTAGAAGATATCCTTTCATTTTTTGCAGTTTTATCTACAAAAGCTAGCTGTTCACGTGAAAATTTCTTTATTTTTATAACAAAAGAAGCTCTCTCTATCTCATTTCTTTACTATTACCCTTTTAGAAAACTATAAATATATAAAAAAAAGATATAAATAAAACTACCAGTACCTAAAGAATTAATATTACTACTATATAATACTTTAACCTTTTTTCTAGAAAATCTAATAAATTTTAAAGCATGATAGATAGTTAAAACACTAATTGAAAGATTGTAAGGTTCGTCATATATATATTTCTGCTGATATTTAGTTATTTTAGCTGCTAATTCATCCAAATACCAATCAGGTCATTTGAGTAAAAATCTGTATAACTTCTGTATTAAGTAGAGTTATATTATTTAATATTTTAATTTAATAATAATATAATCAACTTTTATTATGATTCCTTTCTTTCGTAACTTTGCTTTTCTTCCTACTTACTTTTAATAGTATTTTCTAATATACTATATTTTTTGTAACACTTTCTTACATTTTTAACTAAGTTTTTAATATATGACATTTCCTGAAAATTTGAAATAATAAGTTTACCTAGCAAAGACTTTTGAATTATTAACTTTTTTATATCTTTACTAAATGTGAATATTCCATTATATAAAGTATTACAAGGTAATATGTAAAAGTATTTACATATATAATTAAATAACACATTTATTATGATAACGTTATCTTAATATTAGTGTTAGTATTATTATCAGAATACAAAAAAATTAAAATATCAAACTAAAAAATTACAGGGTGGTCACTAAGGTTGCTTGTCTAAACTCATTTTGGATTTGGTAAAATGGTAAAACCTTTAGTTTCGCTAAATTTTTACTAAGTGTTTGATATAGTTTCGCCATTTTTATAAGCTTTGATATAGTTTTACCTTTTTTCAAATTTCGCAGATTTTTTAATAAGGTTTTAATATAATTTAACCAAGTTTTACTTTTACCATTTAGACGTTTGTCTAAACTCTTGATTTCGTCCAGCAACTTTAGTGGTCACACAATTTTGCAATCAGCTGTAATTGATTTTTTTACCAATTATTAATCAATTTAAGCTGATTTAGCTTAATTTTACCAACCTTTAACATTAATATTGATTGATAGCCAATTTTTTATTCATTTAAAATGCTAATTTTTTAGTAATAATTATCAGAATTAAACTTTAAAATATGATAAATTGTATTATTTTACCTAGTGATACTGTATATCAAATAACTATCAATTATTAGATATTAGTTTTTTTATTTAATGGTATTTATATTATACAACTTTAGCAATAACTAATATGCTAAACTTTTTGGCAATGATCAGTAAAAATTAAAATATATTTTGGCTAAATATTCAGCACTTTAAAAAAGTAACAAAATATATTTTTTTGACTAGAACTAATTAATATAGTTTTAGTATTAATTAGAGAAGATATGATTTTGATGCGATATATATTTGATGATCTATTCTGTATTTATTCAGTTTTTCGCTCAATTTGTATAGTTAGTTATACAGATCTTCATCAATTTATGTATTTGTGGCTGATTTCGGTAATGCATTTCGTGTAAATTGAATCTGAAGTTTATATAGCTATTTATTGCTACAGCTACAGTTACAGCTATAAGCTCCTATGTATCATTAGAATAAATTCATAATTTAAAATTTCCTGTGCTACTTTTGAAATGCATTAAATTTAACCATGTTTAAATTTTGCAGAAATTTTTGTTTCGTTGATCTTTATAAATCATTTGCATTTTATTATTTTTTAGATTTAAATTTAATAAAAATTTAAAAAAAAATTTCGTTTCGTTTGATTTTTTTTGTGTTATATTAATTTATTTGTTGATCGTTTATCATTATGTTTCTATGTTATTACAATTGTATTTGCTTGATTATGAAAAAAAAAATTATTTCTTTTATTTCCTTTATTTGTAATGGTACGTTATACTAATTTATATTTATTTCTTTTTAAAGAATTTTTACATAATATTTGTTGTGTTATGCTTTTTTGTTATTTTATATTATATCATATTGAATTTTATTGTTTATATTTTTATTTGTTTATGTTATATTAATTAAACGTTTTTAATGATTTTTCTTTGGTTATATTTTTATTTTTAATTTAATAAATTTAAATTATTTCCTTTATTTTTTGTGATACAAATTTTATTTTCATATTGTTTTAAATTATTTGTAATGATATATTTATAATTATTTTTTCTATTTGAAGATTTTTAATATGATATTTTTATATGTATACTTTTTTGTTATTTTATATGTTACATGTATTGTATCTTAATCGTTTGTATTGTTTTTAAAAAAATCGTTTCTTTATTTGTTATTTGTCTTGCATATTTCTTTCTTTTGGAAAAAAAATAAAATATAATTTTCTACTTTTTTACAATAACGTGCTTATGTTCAAATACTAAACAATATAAAATTTTATAAAAAATAAAAAGATTTTTCATAAACAAATAACTAACAAATAAAATATTTTAAAAATCTAAATGGATTATTGATCTAAATTATTTTCTTTTAAAAAGAAAAGTAAAAAACATTTTGTTGAATTTTTTTTATTTTTTAAAATTAAAAAAAATTATAATCAAATTTTCTCTCGAATATTAACAATGCATTTTTTAATTCAAAAAATAAATTATTCAATATGCTAGCTCAATTATCTACAATCTTGTAAATTTCAGAATATAAAGAAAAGATTTCAAGTGGTTATTTTGTAGGAAACGCTATTGGATACACTAGGCTCAATGAAAATAATTTGATTCAAGTTTTTAATATTACTGTTTTTTATCCTATTGAAGAATCGAAACCATCTTATGTTCCCAAATTAAAAGAAAGTCTTATTGTATCTATTGCAAATTCAAAGTTTACGAAAAATTCAAAAAATGGTGAAATTAATGTAAGAAATATATATATTTAAAAGAAATACTTATTTTATTTATTTATTTTAATTAATTTATTAATACATTGATTTTGTTTATTTTGAATTATATAATTTTATTTTAACTAATTTTAAATTTTGCGGTTATTTTATACATTCTTCCTGAAGATTTACCTATTCATCAGATAAATGTAGTGAGGGGAAATAGGGCAGTTTTCACTAAGGAGCAGTATGATCCCAATGCCTTCTTGCTACATTACTTTGTTTTCTTTTTCTATTTCTTGTATCTATAGCTCATTATAATTACTAATTATATTTCTTGCCTAGCTGGAGATTCCACAATCTCAAAAATACTATTTTGTAATCTTACTTAGCTATACTCTTTGAAATCTGGCACAAAAACCCTAGGATGCCTAGGGACGCCTAGAGGGGGTCAGATATGTTCACAGGTTGCAGAACATCGAAGATGCGAAGTATATGTATATAAGATATGTACATAAGATATGTTCACGAATTGAGGAGCATCGAAGATGCAGAGCATATGTATACAAGATATGTTCATAGGTTGAGGAACATCGAAGATGTGATAGGTTACGAAGCATTGAAGATGAGGAGCATATGTACACAAGATATGTTTACGGGTTGAGGAACATCAAAGATGCGGAGTATATGGACATAAGATATGTTCACGGTTTGATGAGCATCGAAGATGTAGAGCATATGGGCAGGTTGTGAATTTTGTATGTATTAGATAAAATTACCACTGTACTTGTACTGTACTTGTACTAATTTTTATATTAATTATTATAATGTACTAACTATACTAACTGTACTAATCATTGTACTAACACTATACTTCCCAACCCTGCATATGGGGCTTCGTCAATAGAAACATGGTATCTGGCAAAAAAGCTATTTTGAGATAATTGAAATAAGAGTTTGGTGTAATAACAACAAATGGTAATTTATTATTAGAATTATCGAACACAAGATTTGTCCCCAAAAATTGAGATTTATTTTTTTTAATAAGGGATCAGCATGATCGACCGATACAAAAAATACATTTTTTCATATAAAAAAGCAAAAAAAAGCAAAAAAAGCATAACTTCGTTTCATTTTTTACAAATTAACCATGCCTACACTATTAAAAAAAAGTTCTTTCGAGACATTTTTTATAACAAATAATGCAATAAATATTATAGCAGTCATAACCTTAAAACGATCTTCCTTCAAAAAGTTCAAAATTTATTGTTATTATTTTATGATGAGAAAGAGTGTGTCCGTTACTGGAAAGCAGAAACACTTTGCAGACTATATATATAGTAGTGAGTTTATTAGTGATAACTCTGATAAAAACAATATATTGAAGAGTATAGTTTTACAGCTGACATTACTAATACTACATACTATAATAATAGCGATGTTAATGATAGTTTTTATGGATTTTATTTCAAAACGTTAGCGAAACATTAAGGAAAGGGCTAATATCATGAAATATATCGATATAGATTCAATTGAAAAAAATTCTGTTAAAAAAAAAAGTTAAAAACCTTTTACAATGATTCATAAGTTTAAACCTAATATTATTTTATTAGTGAAATTGTAATAACGTAGTGAAGGCAATCAGAGAAGTAAATCAGAATTTCTTGTTCAGATAAATGATGTAGAAAATGATCAAAATGGAGTTTTTATCATTATTGGGTGTTTTAGCAGTTGGACAACGTCATCAGGTGATAATTTTATATACCACTTACTACAAGAGTTAACGTTAAAGTATTTAACACAAACAATAATGATAACTAACACTAAATATTTATTGCGAACTGTAACGGTAAGTTAAAAAATCAACATATTTGTATCTTTTTTTTATATTGTATTGTTATCATTATGCTAACGTTATAATTTATATTTTTGATATTATTATTATAGTGCATAATGCAACTTATTCGTAAAGTTCAAACTGTTATAAATTTCAAATGGATATATCACGTTAAAAAATTTCAAGATTTATGAAGTATACCGATAATGATATCGATATGATAATTAACTCATTGTTAAATGCAAATAGGAAGTACCTTTTTAAAGATGATTTTAAAATTACTAAGCGATGCTTAACTCTATTTACAAAAATCGAATCTGATTAGTTTTTAGCGATAATTAGAGTCTAAATTAATTCTAAAAGATTTCAAAAGAGACGGAGGATAGAATTTTTACAGATTTTTAATACAAATATATAGTGATAGTGATAGCAATATCGATATCGATTTTCACGAATAGCGAATTTGTCTTTCAAAATTTGACATGATCGACCATTACATTTTCATATGAAAAAAACCAAATAGGCAACAAATTTTTTTATAATTATTCGTCGTTAGAATTTTTTGCACGTTTATTCTTTGAAATATTTATTTACAATTGTTTACAAGTAATTTACATATTGTTTTCTTATATTATTTTCTTATATATTATTTTCTTACAAATAATTTACATTCTTTTTTAAGAAATTGTCTTACGAATAACCAATTAATAAATTTTTTTGATAAAAGTAAAGCACTGTTATCTCTGTTATAAAATGGCTTATTACACAATGAATAGCGTGAGAAACAATATTATTAACTTTTTTTTGCACTTTTTGGTGGTCTTGGAATTACTGGTTCAGGACAAAGGCAATCTTGTTTTTCTCTGACTTGAATGTGCTTTCATATTTCATCAAATAGATACCATTGCCGAGCTGCACTTAAACCAGGAAGTGGAGTAGTTGCTGGACTTAGTTTGGCACCTTTTTTTGGATCTTTTCTTCAAATTTCAATCATATTTGTTTCTTTATTAATAGAACTGCTTATCTCTACTTTTCCTTTATGTTTATTATCAAAAATAAAGTGATACTGCTTTAAAATATTTGGAACAATTTTGAAATATTCTTTTAACCATTCACTCCAATTATAGAAATATACAACCTGCTCTCCATTTTTGTCAAAGATTGTTTGCATTACATTATATCCATTTGTTGTTGAATTTTCTACTACTTTAATTAGGTCATCTAAATTATCAACCTCTGACTTAGCGAGTGCTAATTTAAATAATTCAAAAAAAGAATCTGGGCTAATTTTTGTGTGTCCGGCAATCATAAATGAATATGTAATTCTAACATAATAACCTATCATTACACGTCATGTGAAATAAGTTATCATTAAATTGTTCTTGTTTTATCCAGAACAATTATCGGCATGGATAATTAAACGTTTTTCTCCTAGTCCATGCAAAAGAAAATAATTGTGTACTAGTGAAATAACCACATCTGCTCCTTTTCCAGGCATTTCACTTTCTTTAATAATATAATTCACCTAAAAATAATCAATAGTTAAAAATTTCAAATTGGAATTAAATTCGTAATAAATAACTTACTTGACAAGGAAATGCATCATCGCATATCCCAAAAATATGAATTTTGTAAAGAGACTTAAAAAATGTATCTCCCTAATCATAAAATATTGATTTTAAAATTAGTTTTTTAATAAAATTCAATAAAAAAAAAATTTAAAACAATTTACCTTTTGTTGTGATGAAGAAGGTAATTGAACTTGTTGAGCAAAGTCCCAAGATAGGTATACTTAACATCTAAAGAATTAATTCTTCCTGGGCGAATTATATTTTCTTTACCAAGTCTTTCAACAATAAACTTAGCTCTTTCTATGCATTTTCTAAATTTATCAGTTAAAAGCATGAATTAAAAATTAATTCCATATTTTAAGATGTATAATAAACTTACTTGTAATATTCACGTTCATCATATGCGGCTTTAATATGTGTATTCCATTCAGTTACTTTTTGATTTCGCTTCTCTACAGTTCAATTACCAGCATTAAATCGCATGGTTTTACATAAATAACATAGGTCACTTCGTGGAGTTAAAAACTTTATTTCGGGTGAGTAGTTTTTCCAAATTCGACAAAAAGTACTTAAACTGATAGTTAATTTTTCAATACTTTCGCATTGTTGAATTGCTATTAAATACTTCCGATGCAGAGATGAATAACTTTCAATAGCAGGTAAAAAAATAACTTCCATTGTTTCACGTCTAAAATATCGTCCTAAGGTAAAAATAAAATATGTAAAAATGTAAATAAAATATAATTAATATAACATACCTGATGACGGAAAACCCCATCTGTTAGCATAACTTAATATAAAACAAACAATTTTTATAATTGTTAAAAATAAGATCGTTCTATTGCTAGGCTTTCCAATAGCTTTATGAACCCTAGCTTTGATATCTTCAATAGAGAAATGGGTTCGTATATTTTCCCATATTGTAGTTCCAATCCCATAAACAAATTTAAAAGCTTTCAAACAGATTTCTTTTGCGTCAAAAGAATAATCATAAACTGCCTTAACCCTTTTATTACTTTTTACTGTTACATGTTGTGATCCTGAACTACCGACAAGATAACCTATTAAAAAAGAATTTTGATTACTTTTTGATAAACTTTCAAAATTTGAATTTCTCAAAAAAGCTCTTTCGGTATCAATTTTATCTTTTAAACAATTATTTTGACAACATGATGTTTCAATTATATTTTTTTTGAAACATTCTTTGTTATTTTGTTTGATTTTTTCGCCCAAGAGTTCTATTTCAATATCATCTAAATTATCGCCTTCAATAATTTCAGTTTTTTAAAAAGTTGTTGATATTTTTGTAATTGGGTTTCTGTAATAACTAAAAATTCACTATTCTCTGCTTCTATCTCGTCTAAAATTTCGTCATTAATTTCTAAATTTAATTTAGAAAGGTTGCTGTCAATAGTTACAAAATGTGTTTGAAAACAAGAAAAATCTTGTTGCAATGTTTGAAGCTCTTTATGGGTTTCAGAAAAAATGCTATTTAATAATGGATGAGTCATTTTCAGGTTAAGTAATATAGAAATATTTAGATAACTTTTTCGTGTACAAAAAATTTTTTATTATTTATATTAATTATTATAAATTTACCAGAGATTCAACTCAATTTATAAGAATTCTTGAAATTCTATTTTTAAATTGGCTTGCCGATCACGTAAAATCGTGAAAAATGGGCATAGAAAAAAATTATACTATACAAAATAATAATTTTAAATACTGAAATATGGGAGCTTGTCAATAGAAAGGGGGGAAATCTAAAAAAAATTTTTTTATGAGTTAAAGTTAAATCTGAACTTATTTTACTAAAAAAATCATATTTAGCATATGAAGTAAAATTATAATTTTTTTTAGATTTCCTCCTTTTCTATTGACAAGCTCCCATATGTTCTAGAATGTCTGTTTTATATAGTACTATACTTAACTCATTTTGGTAAAAATCGCCAGATACCGTGTTTCTATTAACGAAGCCTCATATGTATACAAGATATATATACAAGATATGTTTACAGGTTGAAGAGCATCGAAGATGCAGAACATATGTACACAAGATATATACACAAGATATGTTTACGGGTTAAGGAGCATCGAAGATGCAGAGCATATGTACACAAGATATATACACAAGATATGTTCACGGTCTGCATTTGTATGATTCCAATCAGTGGATCCTGAGATATTCGTGTCCAAAGTAGCCAGAGCGGTCAAGCAGTTTTCTTATCACAGATTAGCCAAATAGACCCACTTCTTCGGTCAAGACCTTCAGGAGAAAAAAAAGTTGTTCTGAAATCTATGATTGAGGGACCAAAGGCAGGAGGAGAATTAATTAATTGAATAAAAATTTTCTGAGGATATTATTACACTGCGAAAGATATTCTATATAAGATGTCATTTCGTCAAGCTATCCAAGCAAATATTCGTAAAGAAATTCGAGCTAAACTTGCAGAGCTTAAAGGAGTAACGTTAGACGTGATACCATACCCACGTTCCAATGATTTGCTTGCTAAGTATCAAGAAGAAATCGCACAACTTTAGATGGTAACTGAGGAAAAAAGAAATGGAACGCATGATGTTTCGCAAAACAAATCTATAGATGAATTGGCTGACTGGTTAGCAGGTCTAGTAAAGGATTCTAAGCCAAAAGAATCTGAAAATATAGATTCCATTACATTCGATGAATGGGCAGACAAGCAAGAATGGCTAGGAAAAGAAAATTCAGAACGGCATAAGGATGGATCGATTTGGTGGTTTTCAAGACGAATTCCAAAGTTAGCATTCCAAAAGGTAAAAAACGAACATGGGTTTGGGTACTGGCATCTTGCTAGAGAAGCATATAAACCATATATAATAAATAATTATACTAATAAAATTCGGGATCTAATGGATAATGCTGAAGAATATGTTATTGGAGTGGCTAATGAATGGGAAATGGGTAGAATAGAGGAGTGAATGGAATAGGGTGAATCTAGTGATAACTATCTAGGCAAAAAGGAAGTATGGGTTCCAGGAGGAAAAGAAGAGTACCATATGGATCCTCATGGATGGCTATCATTGTATGCTCATTTTTATGAAAAAGTCAGCCTGGTGAACTTCTAATAATAGATAAGAGGGGGTGGTTATCCTAGAAAGATTTAGATGCGATGAAACTTGATGAGTATTAAGACGAGCCATATAATCTTGAGCTAGAAGGTCAGCCCTATACATTACGTTTCCAGTTCATGGCATGCCCGCGTCAAAAATTATATGATCCAGGAATTCATGAAGATGGAACTGTATGGTGGCATAGTGATGAACTAGTCAATGTTAGCTATGGAATGGCATTAGAAGCTTGCCGTCTTCTTTATCAATTTATAGAGTATACTCTTTTTACTAGACTCTATACAGACGGAGGAATTGTAGAAGAAATGGGAGATAAAGGATGGCATTTTG